GGGGGGTCTCATAGGCTATCATGTAACAAAATCTATTTTTAGTAATAGTATAAAGCGCTATTGGCGCGTTGTTGTGTTGCTGTTTTTATTTTCTTCATTAAATGAAAAAATTTCTGGTCGTCAAGCTGTTTTTCTTCGTTCGATTCATCTAATGAACTTGGACCTATATTTGCAAGCCATTCTGACTCTTCGTCGTCGGAAATATGATTGAAATTGTCCGCCATTTGTTTTTGTTTTTCGTAACTACAATCCAATTCTTCGCTTTCGCGATGCGAGAAAACCTGTTTAACAGGTACTCTACAATAGACGAGTACAAATACCGCGTGATATTTGTACTCGTCTATGGCGTTATTTGTACTCGTCTAGGTGTAGTTGGATAATAAAAACTCATAATCTCTTCTTCTTAGGCTATTAGAAAAATTCTTATATTTATTTGTTATGTATCTATTTTTTATATAAATCTGGTAAACGGGTATGGTGACATTTACAGAAAATGGACTGATTCGATTCCGAACAACTTTCTCTTATTTACAGTTGACTGATTCGAACATGTACATGAAAATACCGACGATTCTCAAAGTAATTTGACGCGTAAACTAAGCAGCAGTAGGGTATGCAAGCAAAATATCTGATTCAGTTGGAAATATCGCTTCCCGGCAAAGAATTACCTTTTTGCGATGTTAATTGTCTTAGCTCTATGAAGTAATTGACTTCATGAAACCAATAAGACTGCGATTGCTGTAATATGTAAGTTTACATCTAAAGTGATGGTTTGTGGAAAATTCTTCGTTCAGTCCTAAACAGTATCATTCGATTGAGCATTTGTTAGGTTTAGAATTTTGTTTGGTTATTCTAAAAACTCATTCTCTAGCAGTTGAACACCAAAATAGCGCGAACTCGCCGAAAACGCTTCAAAACGGCCTGAGACGCTGGTAATCAACGAAGAAAACAACAAGGCAATAAGGTAACTCCATTTTATTTCAAAACAAGACATTTTTTTCTCTCTTTTAAGGCAAACCAATAACATCCCATACAAACCTTTATAAATATAAAACGTTGCGCAACACCGTAATTACTTTTAATAATTACGTGCGCAACACTGTAAGAGTCACGTCCGCTTTTCTAGAAGTGAGCTTGGGCTGCCTCTGATTCTTGCTTAATTTTTGGTTCGTTCTATTCATTCCAAAGCTTAGAAAGTTTTTCTCTATGCAAGAATGATTCGTATTTGGCATTCTTCGTTTGAAAAACGACCGCTAACATTAAATTAAATATCTCGAAAGTCACGGTTGAACAACACAAAAAGTACTTCACAAAAGGCTTCAAACTGTTGTCTCCCGACCGCTGGCCGAAGGATCACGAGAGGAACTCTGGGATCACACAGTTTCTCTTTCCCAAAATGGAGCACAGAAAAGACTTGCACGTTCGCAAACTGAACTTAATCCCCGTAAAGCAAGAAGGAGGATACTTAAAGGAAACATTTCGATCAACTGAAATGATTCAAGTTCCTGAAAGAGACGGAGGAAAACGATGCATGTTTACTACCATTTACTACATGATAGCTCCAGAAATGGGAGGAAAAAACTATTTACAAAGTAACAAAAGTGATGCTGTGCTCTATTTTCACGACGGATGGCCAGCTCAGTACATTCTCGTTTATCCAAATGGGGAAATTGAGGAATATATATTAGGGCGCGAAGTATCGAAAGGCCATGTCCTACAGCTGAGAATTCCTGGAGGTTGTCTGAAAGGTGGCAAGATCTTAGTCGAAGAGGAGTATGCTTCTTTTAATGATGAAAAACCTTTCACGCTGATCTCGGAGCAAGTTTCTCCAGGCTTTGAATTAAGAGATCGTTATGTGCCTACTCTACATGAGATGAAATCCACGTATCCAAAACAATGGAAGGCAATGGAAGAATACATTGCGCCATCGGCAGCCCAAGATAAATAAGCTAGTGCCAAAATGTATGCTAATTGTGCATGATGATATAGCGTTAATTTACATATTCTTGCTACGTGATTTCATAGTTAATATGGTGATTTTAAGAGTATCAAAATGAATGTTACCGAGGGGAATTAGCAATATTGAATCAAAAAGTAGCTCATTTGGCAAGATTTCCATATAGCCCCATACATTAATTATGCATAGAGTGTTGCAAAGAAACCTTTACAATTAGTCTTTATGAAATGGAATGCATAATTAATATATGGGGTTATATGGAAATCTTTCCGCTCATTTTCATTTTTTCCATCAAAAACATATTGATAGCGTCTCACCTCCACTTCTTCCCCAAATTTGCTCGTTCAATATAGTCTCGTCACACATCATCTGCGACAGATAGGGATGTTCTTTTAACAAAACTATTCCCAATAGTAAACTAGTCACCGAAGTGGGGGTAAATATCCATCAAATTCACCCGCGCAACAGACAAAAAATTAGTTTACTTCTGTCGATACGCCGAAAAGTGGTCGCTTTGGCTGTTCGGAGGTGAATATTACTTACTTATCAATAGCGAGCTAGCCACTCAGTACATGCAGAAAGCACCATTCACCAACATAAATTTTTATCAAGAAAACAAAACTTGTATTGATCACCTCTCTTTCCCAGATTTCTTTGTGTTTGCCAATAAGTGTACAAGAGCTAACCACGACTATAAACTTTATCTGAAAAGAGCGGTTTGTAATTGTTACAAATATTCTTTTTTCATTTGCATTGTTGGGAAATGGTATAGCTTACCAGGATACAATGTACACGCCGAATCATTGTCTGTTTTTAAGAGTAGACTTAACATTTATTTGAATATTTATTGAATCTGTAGCCATTAAATTTTATCTTTTGTATGTTTTTAGTCAGGGAAATTGTTTTTATACAGGGCTAACCTCACGATTTTCCCTTTTCAGGATGTATTTTTTACATTTGCATTGTAGCTTCCTGAATAAATGTTATGTTATGTTCACATTTCACTTCATTTATTACTATCAGTTTACAAGAAACAGAGTGTAGATAAACTGCAATAAACCGTTATTATTATTATTATTATTATTATTATTATAATTAATGTATCTTAAAAGTGTGTTATCTCCCCATACATATGGAAAGGACACAAGACAGTTCTTTGGACATAAATGTCAACTGAAAGCTCACAAATCAACATAAATTAAAAGTTAAGAGTATAAAAATTGGAAATTTTGTCCAAGAATTCTAGTCTACAGACAAATTTCTACTTTGTTCATTATTTGTTTACTGCAAAAACCTAATGCATACTGACACCATCCTCAACTAAGTACAGACCATGCTAAATTGACCCTTTATTCCTCTCTTTATTTTTCCTATGGTGCTTATCAGAGCCCAGTTGTTCAAAGGCTGATTAGTACTACAGTAACCCAGGGTTAAATTTTAATCCAGGATTCTGTATCCCTTTGTTCAGAAGCCTTTCGGCGATAGTTTTCTCTATTCTTTGAAGGGCATCCAGTCATCAAACTATACACAAAAATAATTGTACTGAATTTTCTTTTATAACTTTCAGATGTTAAATTAGATTTCACGCTTACCCTGGGTTATCTTAACCCAGCTTTGAACAATTTGGCCCAGGAGAATTTGTGTAACAATCAAGAGATTCTTAACTGAGTTGTTGATCATTTCCTTTATTCTCCTGACCTTAATGTGTGATTCAGGGGTGATATTGTAGGGAGAAATTAGATGTTAGTCACTCTTAAAGGCCAAAGTGTTGAACTATGATGTCAGTGTAACAAAGAGATGAAACTACTGGTATCTTTTTTCATTTTCAGCATATTTCAAGTGTTGGGCTCAGTCAATGGTAAAATATTCACCAAAATAGATAACACTGACAAATCAAACCTTTTTTTTTATGGTTATCACACAATTACCCACAAAGTTTGGCAGGATGTTAGTAAATGCACAGGTCAGTGATATGCTCAAATGACAAGTACATCATTTTAGTAATTAACTAAAAACCAAAACTTCCCAAAGAATGAGGTTAAGACTGTAAAATTGAATTGTGGCAAGGGAAGGGGGAGTATTTACTCCACATATTAGAACATACTGTCTGCAATAAGAAGATTGACCAATCACAATCTAGTAAGATTGAAACTAACTCCAAGCAAACCAGAGAAGTTTGGGTAAAATTGAAGAAGAGCTCCTCAAAATATCTGTCGGCCAACTGTCGGCCAACTGTACCGACAGTTGGCCGACATAATGAAAACAAATTCAGAAACAAGTAAATAGACTGTCATCTTGGTAAGTTTGAACTTGCACAATTACCTCAAAATATGAAACACCATGCGATAGTGGTAACTTTACAGTGCAAGGCATTATTGGCCATATCAATCTTCATTTATGTGAACTTGATGTGTAGTATCTAACTGACACATTTTGTTCCGCTAAAATTGGAAGAGTTTAGTTACTTAGATTTAGCAATAAGAGTAAATTTTCTCAAAGACTCACAAAATTGCACAAGCCCGTGTTTTTGTTGTGTCTTTGTTGTGTTTTCTGTGTTTCGTTCACCAACAGTCAGCCGACAGTCCACTGACAGATATTTTGGGGAGCTGTTCTTCAATTTTGCCGAAGTTTGTTGGTTATTGTTAACTTGTTTGAAGAGAGTGGTAACCTCACCTCCCCCTCCCTCCTTAATTTGCATGAAACACCCCAGAGTATCATCCCCTTACCCCTGTGTAGGACCTGCCATCTTTGGTAGATATTAAGTAGTTGTTAAGCTATCCTGCCTGCCTGCCTCATTGCATTAGTGTATTCAAAAGGGAAAATACATATCAGAGGTGTAACCCAGTTTCTCTAAGTTAGGGATACAAGCATAGTTGATCATGGGAGGGGGTCCACACATGAGTATCTGAGTGTCTGGTCCAGGTGGTGGCATATGTTCCTTGAGCATTGTGTCGTCGATGAATCCTGAACTGTATGGCCATCCTATAAATTAAAAATCAACAACGGCAAATTAAAGTGCATTCCTTCATCAGTTTCATATATCAGATGTGAAAATGTACATGTATCCAATGGAGAAATCAATTAGAAATCTTAAAAAAATTGATCAATACCTTCTGGTGGTCTGTCAAGTGTATACCAAAGCTTGAAATTTTCACATTCCTGGGCTAGCTCCTCCAACTCTGGCCGTACAAGGATATCTCTCTCAGTCTTAAACCCAAAAGAAGTTCAGGTAAGTAAACACAAAATTTTGTCTATGGCTTATATAAGCCAAGGTTATAGCGGTTATATAGCTTAAATATAGCTTCCCGCATCTACCCCAAGTCACAATGTGGCTTCAGAGCTGGAAGGTCCACAGTGGACATGATCTTCTCCCTCCAACAACTGCAGGAGAAGTGTCGAGAGCAGCAGCAGCCTTTGTTCCATGTCTTCGTGGACCTCACCAAAGCTTTCGACTTGGTGAGCAGAGGTGGGCTCTTCCAGATCCTGCAGAAGATTGGATGTCCTCCTAAACTCCTGGCAGTCATTACCTCCTTCCATCAGGACATGCAGGGCATGGTTTGCTTCGATGGGGCCACCTCTGACCCCTTCCCAGTCAGCAATGGAGTGAAGCAGGGTTGCATTCTAGCATCAACCATGTTCGGGATATTCTTCTCCATGCTCCTCCAGTACGCTTTCGCCGACTGTGATGATGGAGTCTACGTCTGTATGAGGCAAGATGGCAAACTCTTCAACATTGCCAGACTCCATGCCAAGACCAAGACCTATGAGGTGCTGATACGCAAGCTGCTGTTCGGAGATGACGCTGCTTTAACATCTCACAGCGAGGTCTCCAGCGCCTGGTCGACAAGCTGTCTGCTGCCTACAGAGAGTTTGGGCTGATAATCAGCCTTAAGAAGACCTACGTCATGGTGCAGGGTGCTGAGTCCCCCTCCTTCCATCCCAATTGGGGACACTCAGCTCGAGGTCATGAACACCTTCACCTACCTGGGTTCCACAGTAACAGGCTCAACATCTCTTGACGCTGAAATCAACTCGAGAATCGCTAAGGCTGCAGGGGTCATGGCCAAACTTAACAAACGTGTGTGGAACAACAGCCTGCTGAGCGAAAGGACCAAGGTTTGCATCTACCAAGCTTGTGTCCTGTCGACTCTTCTCTATGGCAGCGAATCTTGGTCGACCTAAGGCAGACAAGAGTGTCGCCTCAACAGGTTCCACCTCCGCTCACTTCGATGCCTCCTGTGCATCAAATGGCAGGAGCAAGTCCCAAACACTGAGGTCCTTCACCAAGCTGATCTCTTTAGCATACCTTCTTTGCTCATTCAGAGACGCCTCCATTGGCTTGGACATGTCCACCACATGGTGCCTCAGCGCCTGCCACGTGAGATTCTCTATGGAGAACTGCGCGACGGCACCTGTCGAGCTGGCAGACCTCTGCTGTGCTTCAAAGACACCATAAGGCGCGACCTCAAAGCAGCTAACATCAACGTAACTACCTGGGAGGACATTGCTGTCGATCGTGACACCTGGCGGTACAGTGTCAAAGCTGGAGCTTCAAGAGTTGAGAAGGACGGAGTCCAGGCCATATTGAAGAGAGCAGCAAGAAAGCAGCACATGGTCTCTGTGTGCACCCCATCTACCTACCTCTGTGCAAACTGCATGAGGGACTGCCACTCCAGGATCGGGCTTCACAGCCACGCGAGATCCTGCCCCGCCCACCCTGTGTGCTAACCATCGCCTCTTCGAGATGAGGATGCCAAATAGTGGCTATATAGCTTAAATGGGCTTGGGTTAGAAATACGTTTTTTGCAAACTTTCGAAAAGCAGATGTACATACCTGGTTAGCAAACAAGAGAGTAATATTGGTTTTATCTTCAGTGTCTTTGATCACTGCACTGATGATCTGTAGCATGGGAGTTATGCCTGCAGAACACAGGTACAAACAAAAAAATCAAAGAACACTTGGGGTAGCTTTTATCAAATGTACCCACCCAAAAATTATCTTCAAGGTGATCTCAGTAAATGTTAGCAGAGTCAAGTTTATTTTCCTAGAGAACCAAATGTTAAATTTAACCCTTTAACTCCCAGAAGTGATTAAAATATAACTTCTCCCAATAATAGCCATACATTACCCAGTAAACAGGTAATGAGAATACTCACTCCAGGTAGAGATTGTTCTCTTGATCTACCACCAAATTCTTGTAACTAATTTGCAAGGAAATGTGTAGCAGCTAAAGGGGAGAAGTAACAATCAGATCCTGAAAGTTTAAACAACATAGGCAATCTCACATACCAGTTCCCCCTGCAATCAAACCAATGTTCTTAGCTGTTCTAAACTTAATGGGTTCCTTTGCATTCTCCTTGATAGCAAATTTCCCTGTATTTAAAAGAAAAATAGATCACATTAGTCAGTAACTAAGATGATCCTAGAAGTTACTATTTCTTTCTTTCTAGATCCAATTGAGAAGTTAAGGGTAACGTCCTTAATTATCTAGAGAATATTAACTCCACTAGTCTTTAAACATCTTTCTTGAGTTGAAAAAACTGCAAAACAAATTTAATTCTTTACAATACTATGTACTTATTGAGTAACTGGGAGGGCTGATGAGGAAAATATTTGGCTCAAAAATAAACAAATAAAAATATTTGATACATGAACCTTGCAGTGCTCCATTCGTACATCACGAGCTTGAGCCAAAAATTTCCCCCTAAACCACTACCAAACTTTGTCAATAAGCATTAAATATCATAGCATTGAAAATTTAAAAAATCTTGTTTCAACCAAAAAACAAAACAATAGATGGGCACACACAGGAAAGCCACGAAAAAAGATTCTATTATAATAAAATATTTTCCTTCCTTTTTGCAAGTCAGAACGAAAAAAAAACTCAGAATTCATTGAAAACACAACCTTTTTATTATTTTCTTTTTTCCTTTAGGTTTTTGTAACAAAACCATGTGAGGGTAAGTCCCAAAGGCTTTTTCCAGACCAGCTCATGGCAACCTATCCTGCCCTTTACATGTCAGCTTTCTCTGTGGTTTTCTAAGGAATTGCGCACATGGTGTTGGACAGGTCATATGATAAAATTTTTTATTTGACTGATGCTCTACTTCCAAGAAGAAATAAATAAAAAAATAAAGAAGGCTCATAGTAAATTAAGGGTAACAAAAACAAAACTGAAAACTAAACAACTCACCCCTCCCTACATAAGTTAATTTTCCCGATGGTCCTCTGATATCAACAGTGTCACCTATATTCAGAGTATCCAGGTATTGTGACATTTTGCCACCATCTGGATACTTAGGATGAACATTCTTGAAATAAACCTTAAACAGAAATGAATTTAAATCAATTGAAAGACAGATCATCCCTCACATATGTTGAATATGAAAAATAATAAAAAACTCTCTTACACTTGAAAGACATTTTAACCACAGGTGAGTTAAGTTTAAAACATTGCAATAACTGCTCTGTAGATAGTCAAACATTGCATACATTTTGAGCTAAAAATGTTCCCCTATCAGTTTCATTAATTGTGTAAAATATTTTATTCTTTCCTGTGCCCATACATTTTCAAGGAGGCATCTCTTGACCTTTTGTGAGCCAGACTACCTTTAGAGAGTTACATATTTATTCTTTGTGTGCTGTAGCATTCATTTTCTATTTTCTTTACCTTTCAAGCATTAAAAAGACTAAAACTTGTAGACTTGTAGAACTCTAGTTACAACAACCATAAGAGAAATTTTAGACATACTCCTTCAAAAAGAGCGAAGATCAAAGATATGTATGGTTCACCTTGATCACAAGTTCAAAATATCCCACTTCATCATCAGAAGTCACCGGTGTATATGGCCTTATGACGAGACTGTCATTGATTTTAGCACTGAGATACATGTGATTGCCTGAAACAGAGAGAGCAAATGATCCACTGTTCTGGAATAAAGAATCAACATCTCAGACACTGCAATAACAAGGAATAACAGTTTGATTTACTACCCAGCAGGTGCATACTGTAAAAGCTGAGGCAGTGTCCTGGTGGAATTTTAAATAATCAACAAATAATCTTACTTGAATAAAGCTCAAAATTAAACCTACCAACAGGAAGTCCAAGTATGTGTTCAGGAGACTGTAGCTCAAAGCGAAACCTTCTTGTATCGTGACTTACAATCTATTACAAACATAGAAATGCAACATGCAGTTTATTTCCTATTACTAGTCATGTGTGAGCATAATGACAACAGCAGGTTTTTATCAAGTGAATTTCACTACATAGAACCTTAAAAATGATTGGGTTTTATAGAGTGTGATTTATACATGTGATTGGGGAGAGGGGGGAACTGGGAATTGGTTTGGGTACACACTGCCAAAGTCCACAACCTTGCCTTTTTTCTCTCTGCCTTCTGCATATCTTCAGCTGGGAAAAGGTATCATATCTTTGGAAGGATTTCCAGTGGATCAAGAGAAATCCAATCACTACAAAGATTGAAATTTAGGATTCTGGACTACACACCCCATAACCACATTTATGTCTTTTATACCAAATAAGTGACAGGCTTTCCCTCGTCCGGGGAGAATTACCCCTCCCAGACAGAGAATCTCCAGAAAAAGGAGTTCTGATGCGCATTCGGGCGAATTGCGCGCAAGGATAAATGTTACACCGCACCCTTACCTTCTTGTCAACGAGTTTAAATGGAACCTTTTTTTGCGGATCTAACGCAACAGGTCTAGTCTTCTTTCCATTTTCTTGCTTTCTAAGAAAAAAAGTTACCACTCCAAACGCCATAGTGACTATAACGACACCAGCAGCGACAAAAACAGGTTTCTAGAGAGCAATAAGGCAATGTTATAAAGTAGCAACCAACTGCTGACATGGTCGGGTAGACCAGACATGTTTGTTAGGTAGGTAACTCCAAACAGTGGCAAATCAAACTAACGCGTCGAGAAAAGGCATACGGTTTGGAAAAGGAGAAGAATACTCCAACAAAAGGCTATTAATTCTTATCGAGCGGTTCTTACCATAAATCGATCGTCCATAATTTTAAAATCACGCCAACCTGATTCAAAACCTGCGACACTCGCCAGTTGAAGGAAGAGTAAACAGCCTTCTTGCACCCTTATGTTATTGTAAGAACCCGTGATCTGTCCCTTGACCTGTCGAAAAGACTTATGGGTATTATTTCCTCTTGGCTCGATAGGTGAGAGAGAGTGAGAAAGAGAGAGAGAACTAAGATATCTCGATCTTGGGAATATAATTATTACTTTTGCACCTCCAATATGGGCGAAGAATTTGTATGGGCCTGCAAGAATGGAGATCTTGATCAAGTGAGAGCTATCGCGGAGAAACCGGTGAGAAAAACTGTGCTCGTGAATAATAATACTTCGTTGTCTATCTTGTGGGTGTGATGTCCGGATCTGAACGGGTCCCAATTTCTTGCTTTGGCTTGTGTGCAAACGTCACGGCTTCTAGAAAAGGCCACGCATTATAAAACGGTATTGATCGACTAGTCAGTATCTGCCGGTGGGTCTTATCCTCTGAACCCGGGTATTACGCGAAAAAATTTTTTAGAAGAATGACAATATTGGTAAGGTTTGCCAGGCTTTCGGATTATTATCGTCTTGTTATTCGCGTCAAATTTCATAAAGCTTCTTGATCGCAAAAGTAACTTAATCGACTCCATTAAAACACTGCAGCTGGTTTAAAGGGAAACTGCAACAATTACGGGTTTGAAGTTTCAGTTTTACCTTCCTTTAGGAGCTTTTGTTAGAAATCTAGAATTCACTCTGGTCTGGATACAGTACCATATTAAACATGTATGCAAGTGTTTTCTGAAATAAAACTAACATGTGCATCGTATCTACCAGAACCATGAAAAGTATTTTTGGGGGCAAAAGTTATTTTGCATCTGAATTTGCCAGTAGTTACCAATATGTTAACACCTTAACAATATTGCAAGTCTAAGACAACGACTCCAGACGGCTTTCAGAATTTTTTACTTTCAGTATTATTACATTGGAGCTTATTGGTGCAAATAACGTGACTTCAAAGCCACGTCGCATAATTGTTTAATTATTTAAAATCTTGTGAGTTTGAGTGTTTTTCAAACAAAACTCTTTGAAAGAAAGGTAAATTGTTTGGATGTGAATGTGACATTTTTTTGTTTATGTTGTGAAATGTTGCCTGTAACAGAAATTGCCCACAGGTTCAGTGCAAACTATTTTCATAAATTGTTGTAACTTAAGTTTAATTTCATAAATAGAGAAATTGAATGAATTGAAAATGAGAATTTTCTAAGCAGGAACAAATCTTCAGAGTTGCCAGGTTATACAGAGTTTATATGAAAATTGCTTTATTTGTACAAAGGCAATGACCTGAAAGATGACAAACTTTTGGAACTGCAGTAGGGCTGCTTACAATGGAAATTGAAAAGTAACTGAGCAAACATGAAGACTAAGAATGCAGACATTTTCCTTAACCCTTAAAACACAAAGAGTGACCAGCATCTAATTTCTCTATACAGTAATAATGGCTGAATCTTTCATTGAGATGTAGTGAGAATGAAGGAAATGATCACCAACCTACGAAGCTATGATTGTTTATTGAATTCTCCTTGTCAGTCCCACAAGAAATATATAGAGAATAACATGGAGAATCTAGACACTGATGTGATTGTAAAGGGTTTACTAAGACTGCATTGAAATAGTAATGCAATACAGTGGAATCCCGATTTCTCAAACCTCTAGAGGAAATGCAAATTGGTTCGAGAAATTGGGAGTTTGAGAAATCGGGGGTGAAATTAAAAGTGAAACAAATCCAAGGTAAACAAGGTTTGGTTCGAGATATCGGGAGGTTCAAGAAACCGAGGGTTCGAGAAGTCAAGATTCCACTGTAGTTTATGCAGTAATAGTATCAAAAGTCATGAAAACCCTTGACTTTAAATTGGCTAAACCCTCTTTTTTTCTCATTCCCTTTGGGGCTACACAGCTTGCTTAGGTTCTCCTCAACGAAACTGCCAGCAATGCAGACTAGTTATTACAACCTCATGAAAAATTGCCTATTTATTCCACAAATCCCAAAAGAAGCTCAAGCTAACACTTTAACAGTGTCTAGTTTATTACAAAACAAGTATGGAATGTACATATTCATGTACTAATGTCAAACCTCTATTTTTAAGGGTTTCTATGTAAATGCAGAGATTCTGAATGGAAGAAATGGGGTTCATTTTGCTGCAGATTATGGGCATAGTAACATCATTGAGTATCTTCTTTCGAAAGGAGCAGACATCAATGTGAGTTTTTTTTTATCAATTTTGTTACTCACAGACTTACAAAAGTCTGTTTAAGCAAAGAGTCAGTTCTGAATTTAAGATTTGAAGTAATGCATTAAAAAATTATGCATGTCTCACTGGCGAGCAATGAGAGTAAAGAGAACATATCAATTAGGGGATTGTCAGTTGATCCAATACAAAATTATCAGAACTTGTATCGTAAGAATTGCATGGCAGCATGTGATTTTGGGAGTGAAAAGGTTCATCTGAGATGAAGGTGAACTAAAAATAAATTTTGTGTCCTGTTCCTCAACTCAATGAATGATAGGAACTAATGGTATTGGTTTTCTTTACCAAAGCGTCCAGACAAATATAACATCACTCCTTTGTTAGCAAGTATATTTGAAGGCAAAACAGACTGTGTCAAGTTGCTACTTGAAAAGGTAAGAGAATTCTGCAAGCACAAGAGTTTTCTCTTGTAATCAGTGCATCCAAAAACCAAGATTGATGTTGATGGGTGCTATTAATTATATTGAACCGATGCAACTCACTGATGAATTTTTCTAATCAGCAATAGCAATAGCAATGGATACTGATGGGTCAGCTTCATATACCTGCATTTAGAGCCATTGTTAATCGACTGTTGAAAATCATCCAAAATTGCTTTGGTTTTACTTTACTTTGCTTTGCGATTGATTCAGTCAACCACTCTTTCAACCATTCAGAGGGTAATTAAACTAACAACAATCACAACTTTGTCATTTCTCTTTTCCTGTGCTTCAACCAGTTTGATTGTTTTCATGGTCACATTTGGATGCAAATCTCACCTTAGAGTGCTGACAGCAGCATCTCAAGGGATAATAATTGTCTGTAAATTCATTTTAAAAGAGCACCTTATTCAGTAAGTCATCAGTGTTGTAAACATGGTATGCGCAACTGTTTTCAAACACAAGGATACTGAAATTCTCTTTTGGTCACCTACCTTAAAAGATTAGCATGATGAAAATTTGATATCTGAACAAGTGAAAGAGGGTGAAAAACGGAAAAAGGTTTTTTTCCCCTTTGTGGAGAAGAAATTGTTGTTTACTCTACTCATCATAGCAAACTTCATTACAAGTCAGTTCTACAGCAATGACTCACTGTATACTTTTCAATCCAGGGTGCGGATAAGACTTTGAAGGCTCCAGATGGTAGCTCTTATATTGAATGTGCAGAGACAGATGAGATTAAAAGTCTTCTCAAATAGGTTGCCCACGAAAAAGGTATGTCTCATTTTTTTTTTCTTTTTTTTTTCTTCCTTTTTTTTTTTTGTACTTTCTGGTACGATTTTGTGGGAGAGGTGGTGGCCTTCTTAGACTCTGGGTCAAGATCTTTGGTTGCAAGTCCTAGCTGGCTCATTGTTCTGTGTTCTTGGTCAAAACATGTCACTCTTTGAGTGCCTCACTCAACCCCAGGAGTATAATTAGATACTGGTAAATTATTTGGAGAATCTGATGAAATGTCTGGGTAACCCTGCAATGGACTAACATCCCATTCACAGATGTTTCCTTTTGTTATCAACATCTGTTTCTTTTGTTTGGATTGTTTGGAGATCTGATGAATTTGATGAAATGCTAGGTAACCCTGCAATGGACTGGCATCCCATTCAGAGATGTTTCCTTTTGTTTTTAACATTTGTCTCTTCTCCTTCTCCAACAGCATAGAAGGCTGCCAGAAGAATCATTAGTTATGACAGTAATTTCCTTCGAGGAAGCCAGAAGAAGGAGCCTAACAGTTTCCATTGGTCATTGATAACCAAATGAAGCATTTTTGTACAAAGATAAAACTAAACGCAGCCAAAAACCTAATTGATAGTTTTTAGAATTTGACTTCCAAGTGTTTTATTATTACTGAGTTATTAAAATGGAATTGTTTGGATTATATTAAAGGCTATAGGTGATCTGTAAGTTTCTGACCTTGTTTGATGTGTGGTATTCCATGTTGTCGTTATGCAAGTGTAGAGTAACAAATTTGCTGCTCCCCTTCAAGATCCAACAGCTTAAGTACACATGTAGCATGGATATATTGAAATTCCACTTCAATAGGGTGTGTGCCTGTGCTTGATATTCAAAATTTACTGTCACCCTTCATATAAAATTTATTAATTTATGACTTGCTGTCTTCCAGTCCAAAAAATACCTGACGTTTTTTTTTAAAGGGTGTTTAGGTTTCAAACGCGTTTAAAGTGAGAGGGCCCACAATTAGGCATTGTCCACTGCAAAACTTCTTTATTTTAATTACATGAAGGAAAGGAAGAAACGGTGTTCCCAACAGAGAATTAAAGACCAGACTGAAGTTCAGAGGATTCAAAGTTCAACGAGCACATGGTGTGTCGTAGTGTATCCCAATTGCCAGTTGGAGTGATTTTACGATAACTATTGCCAATCTGTTCTTACTTGTTGACCTTTAGAAGGCCACTATATCATTAAAGCAATCCTAAATTAGATTCGGTTAAACGTTTTAAATTGACTTTTGCATGAGGCTACCAGTCGTCTCAAATCTGCAGGTGCCACATTTGTCTAAAGTTAGCTCCAGAAGAAACACGATTTTTTTTACGTTTTGGCTCTATCTGATTGGTAAGCTCGAGGTGTTGGTCACACCTGGGTGGAAGACCGGGAAATATATTTTTTTTGTGAGAGTAGTGCAAAAAACGAAAGTAACAGTTAAGTTTTATTTACCACCATTAAATAGGATTTATGTCATGTGAACTGGGTGAGGAAGACAGTTTTTGTTAACAAAAGTAAGCTTTACTTGAAACCGGTAAACGTATCTATGAAATCCCTCCCTTCTCCCCTAAGTGAGTAATGTTCAAAGATCGCCTACTCAGTCCGAATGAACGGCGAGAACTTCACATATGTTTAAGAAAGTATTGATAAAAAGAAGTAATAATTGAAAAATACTAGATTGATATTCTCTCCCTACTTAATTTTAGAGTGAAATTAAGTGCTAGTCAACCTAACAGCGTGATGCTGGTACCGAATGAGAGTTCGATTCCCTCCAGTGCTTACGATCTTCATAGTTTTCTTTTTTTCAGCCTTGAACTTCTCCGTCCC